ATGAGTCCTTGAACAGAAGTTTTCTTCTAGAACATGGTCTGTTACAGAAAAAAGGAATTCAATTTTTTTTCCAAGCACCCAGCAAAGCAAACAATGACTTATCCCAAATCAAGTCTTTTTTATTTTTTATTTTTTTCTGGTTAACCAAAGTCAAGTCTTTTTGTCTGAACATGTTGTTTTTTTGCGTTATTTTTCTCTTTCCGACTACATATGGTCCACGTTAAGTTTGAGACTCGAAAGACTTTGAAGTCTACAAATGCTAGCCAAGCTAGCAATATTCCTTTCACATTGTTCGTTGTTTCTGTAGCAAGGGGCTGAATCAAATTTTATTTCTTTGGAGTCTGGATTTTGCCGTGCTTCACTTATAGCTGGTGTTTAGAGTGCATAAAGGGTTAGGGAAAAGGAGTGGTGCGTGTGGAATAAAACTTCCCTTTACAGGGCAGTTTGGAGTACTTGTAAATTTCATGGAGAAAAGAGGAAAAAACAGGAAATGAAGAGCAAACATCCGCTAATTTCATTGAAATTTAATATATAGTCATTGTTTTACAACTTTTTGAAAGAAAAGGAGAAAGGTGAACAACTTTTACTAAAAATATGGATCTTTGTCTGTTGTGATCCTTACGCCTATGTTAAAGCTTGCAAAAAGTCAAAAACAAAGGTGTCACATTTTCCATGAATTAATAATGCTCATGTTGAAGTAGAATGTTCCTTGTGAATGTGAAGAGTAATGATATATATCTAAAAAATATAGAAGGAAAGAATGATTTATACATGTGAAGAATTTATGAAACTATAAAATTAGTTTTTTTATGTTAATGTAATGTCAAAACATATAATGATTCATTTAATATTGTCTCGTTAAACAGTATGTCTCCCCAATAAATGGTATAAAAGTCAATGGCGTAACACAACCACTGGTAATTTCAGTGTTGGGCCAGGTTTAACAAAGTTAGAGTATATGTTATATAAACCATGATGAGTATACCCATGAATGATGTTTATCAAAAAAAAGAAAAAAAAGATTAAGAGTCAAGATCCCATATCGAAAAAATATAAAATGTGATTCTAATGTGATGTCGAAACATGTAATGAATAACCCCAACAGTTTAGTTAAATATGGCTGTAATTTTTAATTTTTTGTTTTAATTTTTAAAAATTTTGAAATTAAAAAAAAAAACTTGCTTAATTTATGTGTATTTTTTTTATCATATTATCATGATTATTAGAAAAATACAAAGAAAAATAATTTTAATATTAAAAAACAAGTTTATACTCATAGTTGTTAGTATTAAAATTTATTTTAAACAAATTGTCAATTTTTAATTTTTTAATTTGATTTTCATTAGTTGTAAATTTTTTTAAAATCATAATAAAAAATTAGAAACCACAGCCAGTAAATGGAGCCTAAGTTGTCTTAGTCGTACTTCAATTTAACTGACTTTGAGCAACGTCAGTGAACAAGAACATGGAGGTTTTTTGGCCTTAGTTCGTGTCTAACTTCGACAAGACTAAAGTCTACTTCCGAAGAAAGGCATGGTAGCACTATTTCTTTCATTGTTGTGTTTCTAAATGAACCAGTAAAAAGGCGATAGAGCTAGACTGCTAGTTGCTTCGCTTGCAACTCTGACTTGTGCCCTTCTCTCCATCTACTAAATTATGAAGGTGGCTTTCCATTTTCGGTTCTCAGAAACCACCTTATTGCTTCTACTAAATTAAGAACTTGTAAATTTCATGGTGTAGAGAGGGAAAAACAGGAAATGAAGAGCAGAACACTTGCTAATTTCATTGAAATTCAAAATATAGTCATAGTCTTACAACTTTTTGAAAGAAAAGGAGAAGGTAAATAAATTCTACTAAAAATATGGATCTTGTTTGCTGTGATCCTTATACTTATGTTAAAGCTAACAAAAAGTCAGAAAGACAGATTAGATAATACTGCATTCGGCATTTTCTTAAGGTTATGTGTTCTCTTTATTGATGAAATGTAACTAAACCTATTTTTTTGTACCAAAAATGACTTCAGTTTTGAAAGCAAGTCTGAATAACAGTTTGCTTTCTTCCTGGTCAGAATGTTGTGTGTCCATGACTAGCTGCACACTTTGAATCCAAATAAAACGAGCTCGTTATAAAACATTCAGAAAAAATTTCTTAAGTTCATCTTTATGGACTACTTCAAGCAAACAAGTACTTGAAGGATCAGTCTTTTGAGGTAGTCGAGCTTAACCTTTAAAAATTTCAAGCTGGAGCTCGACTTAGTAGGCTCCTTTAATTGGGTTGTCAAGCAAATCAGAATCATCCAGCTCGTATCTTGTTGGATTTGGCGATGAACAGTTCAGAAGGAAAGGGCAGTGGCAGGATTCATGTGGGGTAAAACTGGCCTTTAGAAAACACCCCACAAAGGTTAGCTGATCAAAAAAAAAAAAAGAAAACACCCCACAAAGGAACTCCGTAAATCACTCATATTGTCTTTGCTACTATTCTTCTGGTAATCTTTACTGTGCCAACATTAACTTATGTCCTTGTAAAAAAAAATTAGAAGTCTTTTAAGTGTTTTGTGTCTATAGTTTTCTGCTTTAAGTGTCTACCAAATAGATTCACCAAAATGAAATAATGGAGATAGAGGCTTTCGCAGAATTATGAGTCGTTGAACGGAGTTTTGTTCTAGGGCACGGTCTGCTGCAGAAAAAATGAACCCAGTTTTTTCCATGCACCAACAAAGCAGTCAATGACTTATCCCAAGTCAAGTCTTTTTTTTTGGTTTTTTGGTAAACCAAAGTCAAGTCTTTTTGTCTGAACATCTTTTTTCTGCTTCAATTTTCTCATTCCTATGAGCTATGGTTCCAGATAAGTTTCAGACTTAAGAGACTTTTAAGTCAACAAATGATAGCTAGGCCAGCAATATTCCTTTCAGATCATTGTTTCTGTAGCAAGGGCAAATTGTGTTTCTTGTAAATCTGGATTTTACAGTGCTTCACTTATAGCTGGTGTTTTGAGTGCATAAAGGGTTAAAGGAAAGGGATGATGCATGTGGAATAAAGCTTCCTTTTACAGGGCAGTTTGGAGTGTGAAACTGATGGCACGGAAAACTTGTAAATTTCATGGTGTAGAGAGGGAAAAACAGGAAATGAAGAGCAGAACACTTGCTAATTGCATTGAAATTCAAAATATAGTCATAGTCTTACAACTTTTTGAAAGAAAAGGAGGAGGTAAACGACTTCTACTAAAAGTATGAATCTTGTTTGCTGTGATCCTTACACTTATGTTAAACCTGAAAAAAGGTCAAAAAGACAGGTGTCACATTATTCAACTAAGACCTAGTTTAATATAGTTGTAATTTTTAGTTTTTTGTTTTAAATTTTATAAATTTTGAAACTTTTTGAAGAAAACTTAGTTTACTCGTCTGTGTTTTTATCACATTATCTTGATTATTAGAGAAATACACATGAAAATAATTTTAACACTAAAAAACAGGTTTATACTCTTAATTTTTAGTGTTAAAATTTATTTTAAACAAATTATCAATTTTTGGTTTTTTAATTTGATTTTCGTCAGTCGTAAAATTTTTTAAAATCAAAAACAAAAAGTAGAAACCACGACCACTAAATGGAGCCTAAGTTGTCTTAGGCCTCGTTTGGTATAGCGGTTTTGGGGTAGCGATTAACGGTTTTACCGAAACCGCTAAATATAGGTGTTTGGTAAATTTATATATTTCGAAACCGCTACAATTAAAGTGTTTGGTAAAATTTTTATTTAGCATTTTGAAACTAGCGGATAGCAATTAGGGTCCAAATCGCTAGTGGATTGAAAAAGCTAGTTTATGTAGCTTTTTGTACCAAACCGCTAGTGGATTAGAATTTTTTAATTTTATTGACAAATTTATCCATTTTAATTTTTTAATTTGTGGTCA